TGCTCGCCAGAAAGACAGAAACAGAGAGATAGAAAGTGAGAAACTATTCCCCAGGGTGGATGGCCACACCACAATCCCTTTTCCCCCATTCTCCTCTCAGGATCTTGGGCACACGCACCTGGCGTGAGTTTAAGCCACGAGGTCTGGGACTCAAACCATGGTCAACTACATGCGAGTCCAACGTCGTAGCCATTACGCCATCTTCTGGTCCTCCAATACAAATGATTAAAGACCCTTTTGTGAGGAAAAAATGCCTTTCTTCTCCTAGAGTCCTAACTTTACGTGATGGATACGAAGCTACTATTATAACCAGAGCAACAGCTGGAAGTCTCTAGAGCAAGCTAGCCAGAAGTGGGTCTTATTTGCCAGTAAAAAGCTTGGGGCATAAACAGCTTGTTTTTTCGGACTAAGAACGGGATCTTCTTTCTCACTTCTAATCTGTGCCGTCTTGCTCATGTGGCTTCTGTCCAAGAACAGTAGCATTCTTACAGAGTCTGTGCTTCGTCCCCAAACTCATCAGAGACAAACTTGGCTGTTTTCCACGTCGTATGGAGTGGGAGGGTGAAGGGACAGCCTCTGCTCTACGTGGACAGAATAGCGGTGCCGCAGGCCCAAGGGTCATCCTGAGGGTGGAGACGAGCTGTCTGTGACCTTCTCTGCCACCAGCTTCCTCTCTTGCCAGGAGCAGGCAGGTCAGAGGGGAGTATATGCATCAGGTCAGAGAGTCTCGGGGAGAATCCTAAACTGTTGCATTTACATAAACACACACACATCACTTGAAGGGTCTGTCACTGAGACTTAACATTTTATTGTAAAACATCCATGGGGAACTCGAAGACCCAGACACAAGAAATACAAAGGACCCCAAATACAATCAACTCAAGATCTTTTCCAAGACACATTACAGCCAGGTTGACAAAAACCACAGACACAGATACTAAGATTGGCAATAGAAAAATATCAAGTTACCTACAAGTGACATCCCATCAGGCTAACAGCAGATCTCTCATCAGTAACAACGCAAGCGAGGAAAGAATGGGAAAATATATTCAAAGTGTTAAGAGAAAAGCAATTTCAGCCAAGAATACTGTACCTGGCAAGATTACCTTTCATATGGGAAGAAAAGACCAGAACATTCTCAGATAAACAAAACCTGAAAGAATTTGCCAGACCCAGACCAGATCTCCAAGTAGTTCTCAAGGGTGTGCTATATCAGGAAAATTAAACACAGACACATGGAAATAAGAGTTCAAAAACTAAGAAAGTGGCCAACTTAATCGTAGGGACAAGTCTGGAGTTGAATATTATATCCCAGAATTTAATC